TGCACGCACGGTCACATGCTAGTGCCCCGCCTGCCGTGGCTTCCCCGTGGCGCGCCTTTGCCTTTTTGGAAAAGTTCAATCAATAACATGGTTTTCGTCATGGACGTCCCTAAGCAGCGTTTCGGCCAAGCCCGCTGTCAGCCATCATCAGGGGATTTAGTTAGCGCATATTGGATCAATGTACTTTTGCATCGTCGTACATAGGAACTGCTAGCTGGATCCATTCTGGGAGGGTCGGAATGGACAGATGTGGGGAAAGGAATAACAGATCTTGTTGGGCAGATTAGATTGCAGCAGGGAGGCCGGGAACGTGGAAGGCAGGTGCTGAAAGAGTTGGGCAGGCGGGAGATGGAGGGCAAGCGCAGAGAGTGCTGGAAGGTGGGAGATTAGGAGCAGATTGGGGTAGAGTAGGATCTGTGCGAGGGGAAGGGAGAAGGTGAGGTGAAGACAAGAGTGGTGTGTGGAGAGGACGATACAGGAAGAATCCGGAGGGGAGCAGGTAGAAGCCAGGGGAGCACATAAGAGAAAACATTTTGAAAACATTTTGGTCCGGAAATCATGGTGCGACTGGTGGTTCAATGGTTCATTTGCTAGAGCATTTGGTGTCGTCTTTTGATATAAGAGCTAATAGAGCTACCGTATCTGTGTCTGTTGAAACGGCAGTGGGTAAACTGAGTCCTGGATGCTGTGACCTTAGTTGCATCACAGTAAGGTGTGGGTTGGGAAGATCGATTCTTGGTGGAAGGTCTCCCATAAGCCCACAGCGGCACTATAGGAAAGCCAGACAAACGCTGGTTGAGAATCTTGAGATATAAAAGCAGGTGCAGCGTCTGGCATAAATCATGTGCAGTGTCTGACATAGTTCAAGGGGGTATCCCGGCAACAAATGTGACAAAACTGGAACACAATTGAACTGGAGCCTTATTTGAAGGAACCAAAATGTCTGGCGTTCACATCAGAAGATTCAGAAGACTGGGCTGGAGTTTGGGATGAAAACCATGTTGTTAGATAGTGGGCACTCATTACACTATTGAGCAAAGGAGGAAAATGTGTATAAATGGTGGAGGCAGCAGGAAAGCATGCACCAATTTCTCCTGCACGTGTTTAGGTTAAAACCTATTCCTTGCTGCATGTGCGAGGCCACTGCCTCAGAGAGCCCCACAAGGCCCCGTTTTTGCATCCCGTCGGCCACCCTAAGTGAAGGCAGGCTCGACGAGGCCTTCAGGGCCCTTTTCTGGCCACCATGCACCTCAAGGAAATTCAGGCCGTTGCGCAGCGCCAGTTGGTTGAGTGAACCCAGGCCCTGGGCTGCCTGTGTGAATGTATGTGAAGCAGGCCCTGGGCTGGATACGGGTACCAGGCCAAACACAGGCCGAAAGCAGTTGGGCACAAGCAACCACTTCAGGCCCAAGGCCTGTTCCTCTCGTGCTGGGCCTCAGGTTACCGGGGCCTACTGGAAGCTTCCTGGACTGGACCCAGGCAGGCCACTTCGATATAGGGAAGGGCCTGCATTCGGCGTTCGGGTGCCGGCTGCATGCTGCGCTATTTGCTGGCTGGCGCCTACACTCTCACGGGCGAGCA